CTGCATCTCCGGGGCGGCGGGAGGTGCCTGCTGAGGCCTGGTGCTGGGAGCGGGGTGGCAGACGTGCTCACCCTGGTGCGTGCTCCCCTCTGCCCTTAGGGTAGCAGGCAGCTGCAGGAGAAATCCCTGAAAATTTCCTCTACGCTGTATGTTGGCAACCTGTCGTTCTACACCACCGAGGAGCAGATCCAGGAGCTCTTCTCCAAGTGTGGAGATGTCAAGAGGATTGTCATGGGGCTGGACAAGATCAAGAAAACCCCCTGTGGCTTCTGCTTTGTCGAGTATCCTTTCTGGTTCCCTGCTACTGTCAGCCCGTGTGTGGTTGCCACCTTGAGTTTCCCTAATCACAGCAAGCTTAGCTGTACTGCTGTGGAAAACCTGAAAAGAAGTGATAGTCAAGTGCTTTCTACCAGATTCTTCCCTTCCAACCTTGCTACTTCACCACCACCACCTTAATTGAGAGACAGACTGTACAGTGGTGCCTTAGCTGAAAAGTGCTACTGCTGCTGTACTTCCTGGAGGTGGCAGAGAACTCCTTTAATTTGTCCATTTCTTTAAAGATTTTAGGGCCAAAATGAGAACTGTTGCAGTCGTCAGTCTGAACTCTTGCATGGCCAAAGCACACGTTCACTTTCTCACCTTGACTTTACACCTGAATGAAATAGCAGAATAATCCATGGCGGTATTCCCAAACACAGGGTGTACGCTTGTACAAGTTGTACCATGAACTCTCTTTGCAAAGCTGTCTTGTGAGGCCTGCCCCTCTTTTTCAAATTCAGTCAATTTCCCTGTAGTATAGAAAAGCATATTACAGATTTCTTGCCCTTAGCAAAGCTTTAACATGTTTGTTTCATCTACTCGTGAAATTAGTAATCCAAAGCTGCTACTTGTCTGTGCAGGTTCTAACGTTAGCAAGTTCAGAATCCTTTCTGAGTGGGAGCTGGTTTTAGCTTGGATTTATATGAGCACAGGTTTTATCCCATAGAGGAGACCATGAAGAGTACAAAAGGCTGGAAGGGAAGATTTTTCTGCTTCTCAAATACAATAGTTCTCTTTTTATTCTCTCTGTATCCAACAAAACAGCATGCTTAGTTCTCCTTATAGTATGCTTCAGATACTACACAAGAGCAGATGCTGAACACGCAATGCGATTTATCAATGGCACACGACTAGATGACCGCATCATTCGAACTGACTGGGATGCAGGGTTTAAGGAAGGGCGACAGTATGGAAGAGGAAAGACTGGAGGACAGGTAAGGGCAATACGAGTTCATACCTTGAATTTGATCCCCCTAAGACTGTACTACTTTGCTAGTTTTATCTCGTGCAGAACAATGTGTAGACTGTAAAGACCTGATGATGAACTTTAGCCTCTCCCAGGTTGTTTTGATAACTGAAGCCTGGTGTTAAATGCTAGAAGTAGAACTTAAGGCCATTTCTGTCTAGGACTCCAAACTTCCTGCAATGCAAGCAGAATGTTCCCTAATCAAAGCTAGTACTCTTAAAATTATGCAGAATTTGAATGGAGAGGGACAGCAGATCTGCTAGGCCAATCTCATACATGCAGTTTGCCCCAGTGCAAAAGTGAGGTTCCTTTGCAGATTACCAGGGCGGAGGGGAGAAAAAGTTCTGGAGGACAAGCCTGGCAATTGAGAAAGCTGGACTGCAAAGCTGAATGAAAATATTTTGGGGTTGTCTTTGCTTCTTGTCTAAAAAGACCTTAGCCATCAGATATATCCTTATTTGTCATTTTCACCACCATTACCACCTTCTTGGTGGATTATTTGAAGAGATTTCAAACGAGCCAAAGTGCTTCTAACCTGAACTTCAGTTCCCCACCAGCTGAGTGAGGAGGGGATGATGATTCTGAAGTCTAGCAGGAGACTGTCAGTGCAGGGTACTAATATCTGTGTTATTGCTGTGCCCCAGGTGCGAGATGAGTACCGGACAGACTACGATGTGGGAAGAGGTGGCTTTGGCAAGATCATTCAGATGCAAAAGGCAAATCATCAGCCTGCAATCTATTAATTGCCTCGTGGGTCCTAGCTCATAGAGGGCTCTGTCCTTCCTGTTCTCGCATTTTGGATTGGGGTAGGGAGTGAGATCCAAGTTCCAGCAAAAGGTGACCCTCCTTAGACTGTGGATATACATGTATTCATTCCCCCTTCCTTCTGGGCTAGAGAGGATGTTCTGTGCTGATACAGGGCAACAAGGGAAAAAAAATGGACAGCTCTGCAGGATTCTGGGTAAGAAGAAATGCAATATGTCACACACACCTTGTGCTATGACATACTCTTCACGTTGCAGCTAAGCAGGTGGCTTCCTCCAAGCTGCAGCTGCAGCTGTGGTTGCTCTCAGATGGAACTTCTTAAAAGCTTACCACCATTGGAGCCCTCCATGTGCCTGGGCACCTTGTGGGGATGCACAAGAGATTCAGGTTTGTAATTTACAACCTCATCTGCTTACAAAGCAGAATCGCTATTTGGGTGAGAGAAGTGGAACAAGGTCTTATCATCCACTTGTAGGTGCTTGTCTGCACATCTAGCCCTTGGGTTGGTCAGGGCCTGCAGAGCATTTCTCTTCATGATGCCCCCAGTGCTGCCTGGCTTTTCAGATCCTCACTGTTTGGCGTGATTTTGTTAAAAGTTTCTTTTAATTTTTTAAATAAACAGTTGTATTGGGTCTGACTGAGATGGAGTTATTTTCCTCTTAGCAGCCCTCATAGTGTTGTGCTTTATATTGTTAGCCCCGAAGGCGTTGATAACACACCCATGTTTTGGCTGCTGCTGAGCAGAGCTCCACAGCATCAGGGCTGTCTCTCCATCATTCCCTCCCTCTCACCTCACCAGTAGGCTTCGGGGTGGGCAAGATCTTGGGAGGGGACAGAGCCAGGACAGCTGACTCAAACTGGGCAAAGGGAGATTCCCTACTGTATGAGGGCTGCTCAGCAATACAAGGTAAGAGAAAGGAGGGGAGGGGGATATTCGTTATTACACTTGTCTTCTGGAGCAACTGCTACGCATGCTGAAGCCCTGCTTCCGGGGAAGTGGCTGGACATGACCTGCTGGTGGGA